ACTCACAGAAATCCTCCTGCCTCAGCCTCCTGAGCGCTGGGATGACAGGTGTGTGACACCATACCCAGCTTGCCATGAACATCTGTGCATAAGTTTTGGGTGGACACGTTGTGCTTTTTCTCTAGGGATTGCTGGCACCTCTGTGTAGAGATCTTTGGACACAGCCTTCCAGCTTTCTCGGGGTGATATCAGTTGCCATTTCTCTCTACATACACAGCTGTTTGCAGAGACTGAGGGCTGAAATGCGTAAAGAAAGCCCTCTTACGAGTTTGTTTCCATCCATCTCAGACCTGCACCCATCAGGCAGCTCCTTCCAGCTACGGAGCAGGTGCCCTGACCCCGAGTTCAAGTCATTAAACACCAGGGTTTCTTGGCACTCCCTGAACTTCAAGCCGAGAAGCAGAGAGAGGTCACCTGATAGCCTGTCTTAGCTACTGTCTCACCGTGGGGACACAATACCCGACACTCACAACTCCCTTGAGGAGAAGTTCATTTCAGCTCATAGTTCATACAGGTTTCCATCCATAGTTGGCTGACAGGTGGCACGGCAGAGGGGCATAGTAGCGGAGAAAAAGTCCACGGCACGGTTGCGGAAGGTAGAAAGAGATCAAGGGAGGAGGAAGGAGAGAGACTCTTCCAGGCCACGCCCCCAGTGGCTGACTCCTCCCACCAGGTTCCACCTTCCGATATCGTATTTAGCTACCAATTCATCAGTGGACTAATTCACTGCTGAGCGTCACACCTCCATGATCCGATCATCTCCCCAAAGCCCCACCTTATAGGCACACGAGGCTTTGCGGAGGCATCTAGATACAAACCATGACACAGCCCAAGAATTTCCAGTCAAAGTCCATCTCCAAGTCTGTTAGTCATCAGTGGTGTACACCAATATTTTTTCCTCTCTTCCGGGCATGTGATAGGGTGGTTCTCCTGCACCCTTAGAGTTGGGTGGGTCATGTGACTTATTCTGGCCAATGAGCAATGAGCAGAGATGCGTCATTTCCAGGCCAGAAGACTGAATTGCTACAATGAGGCCCTCCAGAGATTTCTTTGCTTTGGTGACTTGCAACATTCCAGAGAACGCCTGCTTTGTCACCTGGGTTGTGACAAAGAATTTCCAGGAAAGATTCTCCAAAGTGACCTGTGATAGGTATTCATGAGAAATAATAGCTGTCTGTTGATATCTGCTGGGAATTGCTTCCAAATTTCCCCCACAGATATAAAAAAAAATCTATAGATGTGCAAGTCTTAATAAAACAGTGTAGTGTCTGCATAGAATCCACACACATCCTTCTGTATACTTTACTTTCTTTTCTTTTTTTTTTTTGGTACCGGGGGTCAAACTCAGGACCTTGTGCTTGCAAGCTAAATCCCACTGAGCTAAATCCCTGGCCCCCTTTCTGTATACTTTAAATCATCTCTAGATAAATGTATTCCCTAATGCAGTGCAAGCACCGTGGAAATAGTTATTACACTGCATTGCTTAGAGAATAATGGTGGGAAAAAGCTTGCTCATGTTCAGGACAGATGTAGCATTTTAGAGGTGTTTTTAATCTGTGATTGCTTCCCTCTGAGAATGTGGAACTCACGGACACAAAGAGCTAACTGTACTTTTGTATCATTTAAGGACCCTGAGAGTCTGGTACTGCTCTTCACACCACTATAACCTCACTTATCCTGGCTGATACCAAATCACCCACCCCATGGCACACATGTCCAGCCAAAGGCTCTAGGTTCGTTTGTTAGGGCCGCCACAACTAAGAATGGCTCAAGGAACAAAAATGTGTAGCCTTAGCCAGGGGTCACAGTGCACACCTGTAATGCCTGTACTCTAGGAGGCTGAGGCAGGAGGATCTCAAGTTCACACCTGGCCTGGGCAACTTAGCAAGGCTCTGTTTCAAAACAAATAAATAAAAAATGGGCTGGGGAGGTAGCTTAGTGTGAAGGCTCTGGGTTCCATTCCTAGTCACTCACACACACACACACACACACACACACACACACACACACAATTGTCTTGCTGTTTGTTCTAAGAGGCTCAAAGTCTAAGATCAAGGGACATTAGGGTTGGCTCCCTTGGAGGGCTTTGGGAGAATCTGTTTGCATTTCTCCTCTGGCTGCTGGTGTCTTCAGGCGCTCCCTGGCTTGTAGCTGACGTCCTCCCCGTGTCTCCTCTCTGTGTGGCTGTCTCTCTGTGTCCAAGTTTCCCCTTTCAGAAGGACACAACCCCGTCAGCTGGGACCCACTCTAGTTGAGACTTTAACTCGTCACTTTAAACCGACGAGCTCTTCCAAGACCCTGACTCTGAATACATCACGTTGTCCCTATCAGCTTGGCAGATGGCACGATTCCGATCATCAAGCCTCTGTTCTGATTCTAAAACACCAGGAGTCCAGCCTGCCCAGGACCCGCGATAGGGCAGGGGGAGGTGGGCACCAGCCTGGAGTGTAGGCTGCTGGGTCTGTGAGGGCTTCCCTTGCGAGGAGTGAGGGCCGCCCCAAGATCAGAAACTTCAGCCCTTCCACGTCCTGGAGAGAGCGCAGGGCGGTGAGCAAGGGTGTGGATATAAACCCGGGAGGTGTCCAGCTCAGTGGTAAAATGCTGGTGTAGTGCGAATGAGGCCTTGGGTTCCACCCTCACCCTCTGGAAGAAGAAAAGGAATCCTGGCCCCACCTCATACCAATTTGATACTGAAGCAGCTTTCTTTTGATTTTATGTATTATTATTATTATTATTATTATT